GTGAATAAGATTAAGGGAAAGTACAGCTACTGAACCCGAATGTGACAGCTCGGCCTCGCAGTCGTCCCCTTCCTCCCTTACATCTTCGACGAACCCGTCGGCGAAGCAGTAGAATGGTCCTTCCGCACCGCCCTCCGCGCCTACGCAGGCGAGGACGCCGTCCGCCACCTCCCCGTCCCGACCTCGCTCGCTCACCCCACCACCACCGAACATAAAGACGCAGACGCAGACGCAGACGCACCTTCCCTATCGCACTACCTTAAGACCCAGGCGGAGAAGAACTCGTCCACGACGCTCGGAGCCGACGCGTCCGTCGCAGCGAGCGCGAGTCTCTCCTGGGAGGAATACAAGGCCGAGCGGCAGAAGGCGAAGGAGGAGCGCAGGCGGGAGCGCGAGGCGAAGGGCCAGATTGGACCGCTCGCTTGGTTGGGGTTCGGGCCAGGGTCGAGCTCGAAGAGTAAAACGGAGTAATGGGCGTCTATGCTCCTTATCATTCGTGGGTGGGTTGGCGCGGGGCGTTTCATGGTGCTCAGGCGCCTGCGCTTGATCCTGTGTGATTTTTGGTCTGCCGCGTAGACTCCGTCTCCGTCCGATCCGTTTCCTTTGTCATTCATCTCATCTCTGTTGCATATGCACAGCCATGTATAGGAGTTCCAGGTGCTCTCAGCTCAATGTTTCCAAGTTCTATCCAATAGATCTAATTGATAATGGAAAAGGACGTACACTAGATTCATTGACTTATCCTTGGCCTGCCAAGACTCTGTGCAGGCAAAAACATGCAGCTCAGTATCAACCTGTAGCTACGTACTTGCAACATCGAACGATATTCAATATATTACCGGTCAAATAAATATACACACATTCGTTCAACATCCATATCGGTTCAAATATCACAAATACGACTCGTTCACTCTCTACTCACACTATACATCTGTACAATAATCACAAGAACAAAACACTGAAAGACATCAAGGGGAACAGGGCCAGGGGCGATAGTATACGGCATCACTCATCACAGATACCTACCCCCCAACCCAGGTATGGAGCAGAGGAATTGATTTTTTTGACAAGATGCGAGTCGAGAAGGTCACAATGATCTTGGTGTGGGGAGGTAAGTACTTCTCTGTGGCACCATAAAGGAAAGTAAGAAACGAAAAGGGAGAAAAGTGAGGTCCAAAGTCTGGCAAGAACAAATGGGGAATAAATATAGGAAAATATGGTAGAAGAAGAGACAGAATGATACAAAAGACAACGCCCAGAAAGCGCTGTCACATAAACAGAAGAAAATGAATACATTCAGAAGTTAAAGGTTATCTCCGAAGGAAGCGGGACTGACAAGCATTCCGCTGAGTCCCACTCCTGCCCATGATCTCTGAGCCACATCGTATGCGCAACCTATCATTCCTGTTGCAATACCCGAGCTTAGTTCCAGCCCAGCGAGTTCTCGGCCATGACAGGAGCACTGATCATCTGGGCCCGGCCACTTCCCCGGCTATTTTGGCTGTTGCGGGAAAGACGGCCGCCGGCGGCGAAGAGAGAACCGGCACCGCGACCTTCACTTGTCTGCTCGACAGTGGAACTGGAGCGGCGATGCAATTGACGCTTCTTGCGGTAGCGACGAGCAACCCAGAACATACCCGCACCATAGGCTGCTGCACCGGCCACGACACCAACGCCGATGCCAACAGAGCTGGCCCGAGCGGAAGAGCTGCGGCTGGCACCGGCATCCGCGTTGTTAGCAGAGTCACTACCATTGCCACTGCTACCGCTGCTGCTGCCGCCGCCGCTGTATCCGCTGCCGCTAGACGATCCGCTGCCACCAGATGAGCCAGATTCTCCGACAACAAGAGGGATTGATGGATCGATCATCGAGAACAAGGTCTTGACCGACTCGTTGGGCTGCTCGTAGAGTTTGGATAATGGGCTGCGGAGCAGCTTCCTCAAGGTGTCAACCTTGTCCGTAGGGATATAAGCCAAGGCAACGGTTGCAATATACCCGGTGCTGGCCGAGTTGTCGTAGGGCTGGATCGCAAACATAGAGATGTCTTTGCCGAGAATCTCCAAAGCATAGATCAGACCCTGTGGAACATACAGGAAGATCTGCGATGAAGAGAGCGGGGTCGTGGCGACGAAGCTGTATCGGAGCTTGCCATTGAAACCGATCTGAATCAATGTAGAGTCCGATGGAGGGGAAGTAACACTATTGGCTGGCGAGATAGATCCAGGCAACTGAGCAGGCTGAGTGGTGCCAGTGGCAGTCTCAGCCGTCGAGACCTGAGTCGTGCTTGTAGGCTCCACCAAAATACTGGAGGGAACAAAGTCGGTGTTCTCGGAGGTGGTAGTTTCAGCGGGTGGACGAGTAGTAGTTGTCGTGGTGGGTGCGACTGTGGTCTCTGGCGTGGTTGTCGAACTTGTGCTGGCTTGCTCGGTTGTAGAGGGCGTCGGAGTTACCGAGCTCGTGAAAGTGGCAGTCGGCGTGACCTGGGTAGTGGGCACAGTCGAGCCTACTGCTGTGGAACCGGTGACAGCGATCGAGGAACCAATGGCAGTATCAGTGCTACCGGGAATGACAGCGGTGCTGGTGGCCGAGGGAGCAGTTGTAGGAACGCTAGGACTGATCTGAGTGAATGAAGTTCCCGTTTCAGTTCCGCTGATGCCTCCCGGGATGAGGATACTAGTCAAGCCGGTGGGGACGGCAACGAAACTGCTGGTGGGCGTGCTTGCACTTGGAATGATTCCGGTGCTACCGAGGATAGGACCCAGAATTCCACCCAGGCCACTCGAGGTGGACGCGGAGGGTGTCACAACAGGGACACTGACAGAAATAGTAGGCAGACCAAGGCCTGTGGATGCCGAGGTCTCAGCCCCGCTGCTACTGTCGGTGATGGCTGAGGATGATGCAGCAGAACCGGGTAAAAGGTCAGAGATACCAGAGGTCAACGAATCGAGCAAACCGCTCGAGCTTGCAGTTGGGGCTGGGGTGGCCTGCGTCGAAGAGGGAACAACACCCGTCGAAGTGGGAACGACGCCAGTCGAAGTGGGGACAACGCCTGTCGAAGAGGGGATGACGTCTGTTGAGGAAACAGCATCTGTCAGAGACGCAGCAACATCTGTCGAGGAGGCAACAACGCCATCAGTGGTGGAAGAATTGGAATGGGCAGCTCCAGGCAAAATTTCAGAGACTTTCGAGGCAACTGTGTCAAGGAGGCCGGACGAGCTGGCAGTTGCGGTCGGGGTCGGAGTCGCTTCCACCGAAGAGGGAACAGCGACAGTCGATGAACCCAGTAGCGTTGTAGATGTTGTGCTGGAATCAGTGCTCTCGGTCGCCGAACCCTTGAGGGTGTTGGACTCTCCAGTGACGGATGAGCTTACTGTAGGAATGACACTGGTTGCGCTGGTCGAGGTTCCCAGAAGGCCGCCAACAAGGCTGTCCACACCGCTCAAGGCGTCGCTGACGACATTTCCGCTGCTTGTGGCAGCAGTCGATGAGGTTGTTGGAGTTTGAGCATTTTCAGAAGCGGCTGTCTGGGCCTCAGAAGAGGTCTGCGCGGTTGACGAGGAGGCTATGGTCGCTTGGGAGCTGTCCGAAGCGGCTGTCTGGGCCTCAGAAGAGGTCTGCGCGGTGGACGAGGAGGCTATGGTTGCTTGGGAGTTGTCCGAAGCGGCTGTCTGGGCCTCAGAAGAGGTCTGCGCGGCTGACGAGGAGGTTGTCGTCTGAACATCCTTCGAAGCAGACTGATCGGCGGTAGAAGATGCCTTGGACGATGACGACGCAGCTGCGACCGTTGACGACTCGGTAGTCGAAGCTGACTTAGCATCAGAAGATGTCTGGTCTTGCGAAGTGGTAGTTGAAGCGGCGTCTGTGGTGGCACTTGAGCCTGCAGGCGCAGTCTCGGAGGTTGAAGTAGAGCTCGTCACGGTCACTGCTGAGGCGGCCGCTGTGCGGGTTGGCGCGATTGTGGGACTACCGGTAATGGTGTGAGAGACGCCGTTTGCGTCTACCGAGATGGTGATGGGCACGATGACGACGGGGGCTTCTGTAGACACCGGTGTGCTGGTTGTTGTCTCGGCGCCGTTTTGAAGCAGGCTGTTGAAGTAGGACATAAAGGGATTCCCATCGGCCCTTGTAGTCAAGTGGGCGTCAGTGCTCGAGGCAGCGGTAGATGAATCACGTCCATAGACGACATGTCTCTTGAGTTGTTTGGGAATGAAGCGAGGCTTCAATTCCTGGGCGTTTTCGGCTGTGACGAGTTCGAGACCCCCCAGGGACAGGAGGGCCGCAACGAGATGAGTCGCAGGACGCATGGTGTTGATACCAAATTGATTGATTGCTCGCGATAAGGAACGGCTAGGGTTGACGATGCCGCAATTATGCACAAAGGAATGGACGGAGCCGAAAGCTCAGCAGGGCTCCTATAGACAAATGTAATTCACGAGAGAGGCTCAGTGTTATCCGTCACGCTCGGAAATGCATCGATGCAGGTGTTGGAGCTGGCTGGGCGATTGGAAATGCTGGTGTCACGTCCAAAATCGTATATACCGTATGTAGCTAGGAGGCTGGGACGCAATCACGGTTTCTTCGGACCAGACACCCTTGCTGGCAGTCGACAATAGATAGTGATAGACTGCGATCGTCGACTGAATCCAATACAAACGCTTCGATGATGTGAGATAGAGGATCGGGATGGTAGCGATATAGCAGCGGCGACGTCAAAGCTGATCAATTCGTGATAAAGAGCGAGTATATAAACAATGCGAATAAAGAGCGACAAGGGAAGCTATTGAGTCGACTATCCCCCAAAGCGAATTGCAAAACGAATGTGAGTAAGGAGCGAACGACGAGATCTAGATTAGAAACGTCAAAATAAAATAAAATAAAAAGGACAACGTTATCTGTCGTGGATAAGGAGGTGGTAGTGAGTGAGGGTGGTGGTGGAAGAGGCCGATGGATAAAAGTACCTGTGAGTAAGGAGGACTGACTGATCTCTGGTAGAAGCGAGAGCGCGACCGTGGTAGAGAGGGGGGTGGGAAAGTGGATGCGATGCAAGGAGTCAGGGCCAACGGTAAATAATATGGGCTACGTCAGCCAACAACAGCACCGACTATCATGTAGATAGAAGAAAGACGAGACAATTAAGAGGGACGAAGAGAATAAAAGAGGGGGAAAAGAAGAACAAAAGTAAAAAGAGTGACAAGAGGCAGGACAGACAGCAGCACTTGAGAAGACGAAAGACTACCGAAGAGAGAGGGATCTGGAAGGTGAAAGGGAAATTAATTGAGGCGGAGATTATCTTTGTCTAGTTTGAGGTTAGTCTGGTTTATTTTCGTTGTTAGCGCAGAGCAACTGGAATTATTGTTACCATACTGTAAGATTCTACAGGGGCAGGCCATATTTACCACCAAATCAGTGCACATCGGCCGTGGAAATGGAAAGCGAGGTCCGAATATTACAGAATAATACAGAGTATTGTTACCTAAGGTAGTATCACTCAAGGTAAACGTACAAGGGACACATTATGGCCACGCACCACTTTGCGGCTAGCAGCCACGGTTCTACAGTCAACAAACAGTGTGCTACTGTCCTTCTAGATACCTTGAGTTACTACTTTGAAATGTTGGCATTGGCAACACCTTGACGTCCTGCCATACTCAAAGTCGATGTACTTATCTGCAGATATCCGTCGTGATGCTACCAGCCTATCAGACTGGATGGTTCTCTCATGGAATAGATAATCACAAGAAGCAAGGCTCACTACTGCGGCTGGCTACTGCAGCATAGCCTAAGGATACCGCTTCCAAGTCTACTGGGAAAGACAACATCAGTACTAATCTGTAATTCCAGTTAGCCTCGGTCAATGGCAGCTTTGGATATCTCAATATTATGAACTCCCTGAGTTGGCCCAGTGAACAGATTTGAAGGGAGAAAATCAGAAGAGAGGTCTAGATGGCCCATGGTGTATCTGGATCGACAAAAGACCCTGACTGAGTTCGAAGTAAGATGCCTTCAAGTCAAAGGCACACAATCAAGTGGCACTGTAGTCGATCTGTAGCACAAAAGCAGTGTAGTGGCAGTGTTGAAGGCCAAGGCATAATCGCAAGAATTTCAGAACAGGATTGAATAAGGTGATTAACATTCCCCTGTGTGAAACTAGAACAAAGGAAACATGCAGTTCCTAGGTTCATTGAAGAAGTTCATGAGTTTATCCATCCATCCATAGGTGGCTGATTCTAGCTCCTGTGGATTAACCTCTCTTTAGTCATTAATCAAGTTCAAAGAAGACATGTAGGCTACCAGCATCATCATTAATGGCCACTGTGATTGCTACTGTGCATGCTGATCTGCTGGCCAGGCGTGCACATCATAATTCCCGCCCTAGGCCTCCACAACCCGCTCACCAATCACCCATGATCCATCTAACCAACTCACCAGCCTCTTGCCAAATGCTGACTTTGCACTGCAGTAAGCCCATTCCGTCAAGGTTCGGACCATCGCAAGGCCTAGAATGACGGCGTCATTTTAGTGCGTGTGTGGACCACAAGCAGTCCACTTGTTCCGACTCCTAAGATGAATTGTGGATATGGTGGAGTGTTGTGGTGCGTGGTGATACAGAGTTACAGTGATTCAACGGCCGACTCGAAGTGACAGCCGTAAGGAACATGGACATGGAGTTGGTCAGAGTCTGAGGTCTGAGCCCTCTTCTCCTCCTCAAGATAATCTTCTTGTTTGATGAATTAGATTAAGCGTACAGCCTTATGGTTATGACTACGGTTTATTCATTGTCAAAAGATACCCGACGATGACAGCATTTCTAACCTGAGGCATGAGCCCTGTTCTGTACTCTATCAGCACATAATAACAAACCACTGAGCAATCAGGAAAAAAGACAATATGGCAAAATACTCCGTCTGGAGAATCATAGCGTACGCTAGCATATTTGCAGTAAAGCCTCCATTAGCGTGTCATGGCGACTGACACCATTGACCTGGATGAGAAACATAGGGGAACAACTCGTTCATTCGGTCTTCAACCGGTAGTAAACTATTACATACTAGACAACGAGTCTAACGACTGCTCAATTCAGCGATCGACTCGGTCATAGTGTGAGGAACACTCCAAAGTACTCCGTAAAGTGATTATTGACGATTAAACTTCGATAGGCTGATGCTAAAGAATGCGCGTGTCAATCATCATATCACCTTCCAGACTTCTACAGAGTATCCATCTACATTCGACCAGCAATCTGAGTGCCAGGTATCAAGTATCGCGCGGAAATGCCTCTCTCTCGAATGCTATGATCTGTCAATAAGGCGATGTTTTACTTCCACATGTTTTCCCCTGCCAGGATGCAGTACGCCGTAAGCGACCTGGTCTGGGAGGCTGAAACGGTCGTCTTTTCATCCCTTTTGGCTCGGCACTGCCAGGAAAACACCGAGCCTGGTACAGGTATGCCCACAATCAACAGCAGTCAAATTGCAAATTTCTGTCAAGTGAGCAGACATCTAGTAATACTACCTGGAGAGCAACTAGAAAGTGAACTGTTGAAGTCACTTAGTCCCAGCGACGAGTAGCAAATGTCCCCTATGGCCTCTGCAGTACGCATAGGACAGAATGGTGATGTTTAGTACAGAGTACAGAGTACAGACTCGGAGACCATGTCCTGATCCAGTAAAAATGCCAGCAATCAATAGACAATATCTTAAAATTTTTGCTGCCTCCTGAGACCCCAGCTATCCACAGCATTATGCTCGAGCCGGGGCAAAACTTCATTCCAGGTACCACGCAGTATCCTCACGCTTGAGAATTCTGAGAACAACGTCATTGACATTCCTCCCCCATGTGCTTGGAGTCGACCATGTTTTTCATGATAGATGATGGATCAAAAAATGTTCTCCTTGATGAGACAAACAAAATGTGACGCTGTCTAGACACTTGGTAGAGACAGATTTGCCGTACTTGGTGCCTGAGTTGGTCCTGGTAAAATGACGCTAAACCTGTTCCTGAAAAAGGACCTACAAAGGCCCACTTTACTAGCAAATGTCCGTGATACATACAGTGGTACAGGGTTTTATAGCATTGGGTACCTCACAGTAGTAATGGTATTCTCAGCTTACCATTATCATCAAATCAACTGGTGTTCTGGTTCAAGATGAGTTGTCAGCCACATCAACACCAGCCATACGACCGTCAACTCAAGATACCTACCTATCACACAGCTCCAACCAATCCAACAACTCATCACCACGCCTCCCAGTCATCATACCATAACACCTAAAGTCGAGAATCCCTCACCCCCCTCGTCACCACTGCAGAACACTCAATCTCCACATCCGTACCCAACGGCAACGTCCTAACAGCAACGCAAGTCCGCGCCTAACCCATCAGAATCAGCATCCACCTCGTCTCAAAGCAGCACAAAAATGAATCAGAACTAACCGGCTTTGGCTCCCCAAATGCCGCCTGGTAGACTTCATTCACAGCCGCAAAGTCCCCCATATCAGCCAGGAAGATATTCACCTTTACCACGTCATGCAGACTCGATCCGCCTGCTTCCAGGACGGCAGATAGATTGTGGAGGATTTGCTTCTGCGTCTGCCTCAGCTTTTATCTTTCAGAATTGAAATGAGGGGTGGGGGGGAAGGTACAGTGCGCTCTTGTATCGGGCCCTCCACCATCTTCCCTGTTGTAGGATCCACGCCTACCTGCCCGGAACAGTAGACCATATCCCCTACTTTGATCCCCTGGGAGAGGAATGGAGGTGGGAGGGGGGCTTTTTCGGTTCGGATGGGGATGCGGGTTGCTTTGGCCATGATTATTGGGGAGGTTATCCAGTTGAAGTTTTGAAGATTGTTGGATGCTGGAGGTTCTTGGGGTGTGGAAGGCTGGAGGTAGAGTCGTGCGGAGATGTCGCCCCACTATGACTATGACCCGGTATATGGGGTCTACCGTCCACTCAACAGGTATCTATCTAGGTGACGGCTACATAGGCAGATAATACTTGGAAGATAAAGAAATGAGTCTTGGATTATTATGAGAGTCGTTGACACAGTTGTATTCTTGAGAAATAAATTTGGATTGTCGGTGCGGGGAGATATATTCTGGTTTATGGTTATGGTGAAGCTGTTATAACAAGACCAAGACAGAGATCTATTATGCAGACAGATAGAATCTTAAAGTCTGGCACCAAATCAGAGATGTCTTCACCCTTTGAAGAGACTGGGCTATTTCTAGATATATACAAGCTGTCTAGTATATATATCTATATCTATATCAAGCCAATATACAAGTCAATCCACTGAAAACAAGCAAACTGTAGAGGATTTCAGTAGTATGCATATGCACAGGAGTGCTTATATCCTGACCCTCTCACATCATTACACACGTCTAGAGCAACAGTGAATGTGCAAGATGCCCTCCTACTCAAACCCAACACTAATCCTCAAATCTCTCACCAGAATGATCCGGAACATGACCCGCCAGCAAAATGGATCGCTATCGCCCACACATGGAAACAATTCGAGAATTCCCAGAACTTCCAAACCTAGCTCTACAGATGACCGAGAATTGGAAGCCCATCCCTGACTGGGAGGCCGACTGCAAGGCAAAGCGTAGACCAAGACCAGCTCCCCAGTCAAAGAGCCCTGTCGAGGTCCGCGTACATGGTCTGGCAGCAAACTTCTTCCTGGATCTCCCTGACGATAGAATCATCCCCAGCTACTATCTGAAGAAAGCCGAGAGAACTGGTATGTTTTGCCTGTCCCAAAAGACGTCCTGTCCTGACAGAGGAAATCACTGACTGATGTGTCTTAGTCATTGTTCAGCGTACACCCTGGTGCTTTCGCGAGGCTGACGATGCCCGCGACGTGAACATAAACAAATGGTCTCCAATCGACCTTCGCTTTCGAAGCGTCTTCATGACCCTCAGAAAACTCCCCGAGTTTGGCTCTCTTTACGACGAAGATGAAGACGAGGACGAGGGGTACGGTACGATGGACGGCGGGGGAAGCAAGTCCAAGCCCAAGTTCGATGAAACGATCAAACTTCAGGGACAAGTCGTGTATGCTCTTCTGCAAGGGATCTTTGAAGCATTCAGAATCAGCAGAGAAACGGACAACAGTGACTCCTATTACTTTTTGCGGTCAGTAGCTTCTCCACGGCATGTCGCTCTCAACGCTTTCACTCACAGCCGTTTAGGGCTAGGCTGCTCAACTGCGAGCTCGAATATTGGATCGGATACCGCGAGAGGTACAGAGACGGTCCTATCACAGCTGGAATGGTCGGCTTAGATCACTATCCTAACAAGAAGGTCTGCGCTGCAGTTCTGCCCGTGTCGGCGGTAAGCTTTGCCCCTACAAATCCACACACGTCGTGTCGGATCGCTAATACCTGCTTGTAGTCATTGGAAAACATATCTCTCAGATCGGCCCTCGAGGACAAGCTCAAGCTCATGCTTGGCCAGCTCCTTCTTAACATCTCCCGTCTGCGGCCCCATGGGGATCAGATCCCGGACCAGGAGGTTTATCTGATTGGCATCCACGGTTCCAGGCTGCATATTCTTCGTGCCATCTTCCTCGGCCAGAAAACGTCCCGTCTGTGGAGCGGAAGACATAACCGTCCCTCCTCAGATGCCGATGCGGTAGACCCCAATCCGAGCACAGCCTACGATCGATTCTACTCTGGAAAGAACCTGGAACGACTTCGCCAACAGGTGGAGTGGCTTAGTGCAAAAAATCTGGACAGCGATCCAAATCCCCGTAATCTTCGAGTCTTGGGCAGCCGAGAATTTGATCTCTGGCGCAAGCAAGATTTTCGGGCGGCCGTCAAGATGCTTGTAGCTCTGTTCATCTACATGATGAGCGGCCAGGCTCGTTGCGGCGTCCTGCAGAGTGCGTTCAAGAATTACCCTGTTGATGATGAATCAGACGATGACTTGGAGGAGGTACATGACACCCGCAAAAAGGTGGCGATTGAAGAAGAGGAGCTAGCAAAGAGAGAAAAAGAGCTGGAAGAGACGGAAAGGAAGAAGCGTGAGGAGAAACGGAACAAGGCGAGCATGAGGGGAAAGATGCGAAGCTCCATCCATGATCGCATTCGAGGATTCAAAGGTTGGCGTAAGTGGGATGACTCTGTGTGGCAGGACAAAGAGAAGGATAGCTCACTGGAGGAGGACTTGTAGACCATGTATTCCGATCCTTGTTTGTCCTGAGGACCATGCAGCCTGGACCATCGTGCTCCTGGTAGAGTCAGCTATTCTGAATCAGTCAAGTTCGACTTGGCGATTTTGCAAAACCTGGCAATGCGCTTAAATGCAACATTCCATTTGAATAGGAGGTGCACCATCAAGCAAATAGAGTTGTGATTTTTCTGTACAAACACCAAAATATGATCACAATGTTGTCACAAATTGTTGCTTCGCATGAGGTCATAACCAGAAATGATCATCTACTCTCGGTCTCTGCGACGCCTTTCAGACTCAAACTCGGTGAATCCATCAATACCCAGTCCGTCTTGCCCCCCGGTGCGAAAATACTCGACAACAACACCAATAGCGTAGCATGTTCCCGCCGTCGCTACACCACTGATGAGCATTCTACGAAGAGCTGTTCGAACTCTGGACCAAGCCTTCGCATGATCAGTATCCTTTGAAGCTTCAGCAGTGCTTGCAATGGCCGGATTGGGAGACAAGTCAGAAGGACCAGTCGCCGCTCGGAGATTTTTATCATGTTCTGACTGAGTGGAAGCCAGTTGTCCTGCTAGACCACCACGGCTTGGGATCTTTGAACGCATAACTGAGCCACTCTCGGAAGCCTGTCTAAAGACAATGATATCCTCGCCGCCAGAGACAATTTCATACCCGTCGTTGTGCATTTTAGCAAGGTACGGCACGAACTTCGCAGGATGGCTCAAACGAGAAAGGACTTCCGCGGGTGAAAGCAGCTTATCCGTCGGCTGCAGTGAGGAGCTCGTCTCTGCTTCCATTATCCGCAAGGTAGAGGGGTCATATACAAGAACACGATATGTTGCTGTTGCCCAAGGATCATTTGAAGAGACTTGATCCTGATTGTACTGCTCCTCGGCTTCATGATCTGGATCAACCCTTACGTTGTGATAGCCTTCTTGAACACGAGGAATGGAGGTACTTGCAGTCATTGAACTCTGCGAGCGCAACTGAGGCTTTGATAATTCAGGTGTCTTCGAAACCGTCTCCTTTGATTCAAAAGAATCATAGATTTTGTACTTCTCTCGAATGCTTTGAGCATCTAGATCTTTGACTGGGTCTTCGGCCAACTCAAAAGCAAGGTCCAACTTGCGCCGCTTTTCCCTTAATTGACCTTCAGAATCCTGATCCTTGTTCTTCAGCTCGTAGGGTGTGCGAATGTCACTGGCGCGCAGAATATCCAAATCTTCAGCCTTTTCTGCTTGCGTAACCCACTCTTCCTGCTGTTTAAGCTCGTCGGGTGTCATATGTGGCGTAACTCGTGGATTTATTGTTTTCGTGGGGACGCTTGAGGACCGTTCATTCTGATGGCTGGCTGCAGAGTCAGGCACATCGTGAGTCTCTAAACGAGCATGGCAAATTGGTAATGGCTCGTTAGTTGTTCCAGATGACAGTACTGCCTTTGCAAAAGCCGTGGATTCGTCCTGAGGCTCAGCTGGGTCTTTGAGCTTGTTTTCATCGAAATTTCCTGGCTTCGCAGGAAACTTGTTGCTGCGAGACGCGGATTCGCCTGGTCCTTGTGTGTTATTTTGAAGACTTGGGTCATCGGCACTTCCAGATTGCACGGTATTTTCATGGGATCCAACCTCTGTAACCCCTTTTGCGTCTGATTTTACTTCTGAGCGATCTACCGGGGAGAGGAAGCCAGCACTCTGAGCATCGTCACTTTGAATTGTGTTCGAATGAATCGTTGAACTGGGAGTTTCGGTGTGTTTGATATTCCGAGACCTCTCACAAGCTTCCCCCTTCTTCCGGACCATGCGGCCAGTAATTGGATCAAACTCCTTCTCTCCAATATCATCCTTCGCCAGCTCCTCATATGTATTGACCTCGTTTTTGAGGCTTGCTGACTGTTTGTCACTGGGCTGAGGATCTGATGAATGCACAACATCAGTCTTCACGCGCGCAGTCGTATCAGTCGCCTTAGGCTCAGCTTCTGCCTTTGACCCATGACCGAAAAAGGACTGAAACAAGGAAGAGAAAATATTCTCATGCTTGCCCGAAGACTTGAATGGTTCAAGTCTCCTCCCGAATAAAGCCGCGTAAGGATCCGCCTCGATCTCCTTCTTTATTTGTTCCATCCTCTGCTCCAAACGAACCCTTTGTGCTTCCCAATAGTCGTTCCTGGGCGTACGTTCATTCCGATATGGAGGAATGCTGAATTTCAACCGGCACCATCCCCAGCCAGGATTCCACCAGGGATGATGATTATCGAATATAGATTGTGATCTTTGACGGTGCCCAAATTCTCGGTCTCTTAGCTTTGAAGGACTATGGCGCTGGTACTTTTCTAACATCCTTCGTTCGTCCAAGCTTCTGCTCCCATGTCGATGGTATGGATACCGCCATATCCCTCGGCTCTGGATTGAGGTTGTGCTCGACACCTGGGGGAAAGTGATGTATGGGACTTCAGAATATCTTGGAATAGCTCTCGAGCACCTGGATGGTTTGGGATTCGATAGCAGTGCAATACATGCCATTTTGAACGCTCTCCTTTGAGCTCAATAGATTAACTTATCAAGTCTCTCGATAATGAAGATGTAGCCAAAGCTAGCGAGCTATACCTGACTGCGTTATGACAGCCAACAATCTAGACGATCACATCACAGCAGCTTTCGCAGCTTTAGCTCTCAACGAAAGCCCAAGCTAGAGTCAAGTACTAACAAAGATAAGAAATGATGGAGACTAAGATTGACGATGGATGTCACAACAGAGACGGTGAACTAGTCTAAGGATGAGGAGCGAAGGAGCTTCCTTAAAGGCGGAGAGAGCTCGTCGATAAGCTATGCGGGGTCGATATCCTCAAAGGCTCAATGAATGTGGGCCAAAGGTCAACTCTCAGTAAGAATTCGCCACAAGGCACACTTTCATGAAAGAAAACTGGTACAATTGTTTGTGGTTATACATATAATAAGTTCGAGGTAGCAGCTGCTTTAATAAGGAAGATTCATTTCTCTTGGTCATAACGGCGTCACATTGTGTTAAAAAGGGCCATGCGAACGAACACGCTATATCAATATGTACAAAAGAACTTCTTCATATGGCCAGACTTGACACCCTCGAATCAATGCTATTAATCGAAGGAAGGTCAGACGTGATGTGGTTGCTCCAGAACCTTAACCCTTCAATGCCTTCCTCACGACAAAGGACCCCTTTATCCTCAGCCATTTCTAGCTCCTCTGCTGCCACACCGACACTCCACTTGAACCTTTGAGCAGCCTCCTGTGCTGTCACGGCACGCCCAAATTGACGCCAGTCCCAGGGTACTGGATCAGCCGGCGGTATCTGACGAAGTTCCGCCATCCATTCTTGCAGTTGCCGAATGGTCTTCTCATCACTCCAGTCGTAGCGTTGAACAACAAGAAGACCACTTTTGAATCGCCGCAGCCGAACAGGTAGTTTCAGTTTCTCCCACAGCTCCGCTGCTTTCTGAAAGTCAGAAGGACTGACTAGTTCTACCCCATTTCGGGAGCGGTTGAAAATTGCCCAAAGATCAATCAGACTCATGATACCGCCTTCTTTCTGTAAGATACCCTTTCTGTCGTCGGTGAGGTACTCTGCCAAGTTGCGTGAAAGTTCCGAGAGATATAAGTTCTCAGCACCAGAGCCAAGCATATCTTTAGTCGTGATCATCCCAAGAGCGGCAGCAGATTCTGAGAGCACTGCGCTGGTTGCTGCAGAATCCCCGTCGCCAGCCATACCTGATTCCCTGGCGAGCGTTTCAGCAAGGTTAACGATCCGTTTAGCAGACGCCATCAAGGCCTCAAGATCCTCAAACGAGCTGCCTATTACCGCCTCGTTGTTTCTGCGAGCCTCAAGTCCCCTCTGCTCAAGGCCCGCGATTCCTACTGCCGGGGACCGAGGTTTCGCTGGCGCGGAACCATTAGCAGCAACGGCAGCTGAGGCTATTGTAAGATTTGGCGTGGCGGACGATTGCAATGGCTGCTGCGGAACAGGAGGCGCATCGTAGAGCAGCCACTTTCGTTGGACCAAGGCGCCTTTCAGCCTTTCATAGAAAGTCTTTTCACCGCCTCCGCGGAAGGATAATTTGACAACCTCGAAAGTCTCAGTATTGGCGATGTTACCTTGTGCGAATACCGGCGCTGGGGATTCTGAACGCTGGGAGTCCTCAGCAGAAGCTCCTCGAGCGACTGCGGAGGCTAGGGGAGCCCCGCATATCTCACACTCCAGAAGATAGGGATGGTTCACAAAAGTACATCTGGGACACGGCGTCGAGGTACTAGGCTTGCGTACGACTTTAACATCATTGCTTCCGGTTTGACCAGGCTCATGTGTAGCTGAAGTTACCGGCGTGCCTTCGCGGCCAGCGGCGGCTGTGATGGCAGCCTTCAGAACGGTCGTAAATGGAGGCTTTATGCCACAAGCCAAACATGGCGGCAAGTGAGTAGAAGCAGTAGCCGTTGCTGGGTCGAAATTAGAAGGCACCGGATTAGAGAACGAGCATATCGGGCAGACCCAGGTCGCGTTCGTAGGCTTCGGTGCTGGCGGCTTGTGAAATGAAGATGAGGTTGCTGGGAGTGGTGACTGCGATCTCCCGGACTGGAGAGCTGGAGACTGTGATGCAGAGGGGCTAGCCCCTGCGCTCTTTGACTTGAGGTCATTCTTTGCGGGTTTAGGGTGCAAAGTGATCTTCGAAGAGGACTTTAGAAACCCTGCCTGGAAAGGGTGAGCACGGGAGCAAATGACAGTACAGAGTCAACCATCAACCATACTTGGTAATCCGCTCGGTCGATTTCCTTCAAGTCGATGGCGACTGAGTACTTGCGTGGCTCGTCAACAGCGACATAGCAGACTCGGTGGGATGTGAGGTATGCATGGCCATTTTGATAATTTGGAACCTTGAATTTTCTGTATATACGAGCAAAACTTGCCGGTAAGCTTCAATGGCACATACAAAGGAGTAACTGGGGAACAGCTTCCTGTCAACTCACCCTTCATATAACCCCACCGCATCCTGGACGAAGAGCAAAGTCTCATCGGGCAATAATGAGGGACGGAGTGCAGTGGTCAGATCCAGAGACTTGAAGAACATCTAGTAAGCTCAGCCAGCATCTCTCCACCATCTGAATTGTGAAGAGAATATACAATCAATTCCGATTCCAGAAACATCCCAAGTCATGCTCATGATCACTCGACTCACCCCGCTGATGTAAGATAGACTAAGGGCGGCGCGCAGTAGATAGGGAGATACAGGTAGCGAGAGCCACCATTAGCGCATTCTCACATCCTCTCCGCCACACCAAGCCAGACAGAGTAAGCGAGAGTCTTAACCTCCTTCCTTTCAAAGACCTCACTTTTGCACTCAGACCTAGTGGTTAACGCAACATCTATCACTAGGATAGCTTCGTCCACCCAAACTTCACTCACTACTCACCTGCTAGTTGGCCTATTATCTCTCATAACCATACTAGTTTTGAGGTGGTTGGCCAACTTCTCAGCTTACTGGTGTGTATGAACGGAATTTTGATCACTCTCCTTGATCCCCAGGCAACGCGTAGTCTAATCTTTTTCTTCGCTTTCTGATTCTGATATTCTTTTCTCCTTTCAAGTTATTTCCTACTCTTCTTTTTGTGTTTATGCTTTTGTACAAGATTCTCCCATCATGAGTTCTGGTATCCCACCCTGGCGTGCTACCGCGTCCGCTACTGCTACGGCCCCTCACTTTCCTGCACATGGTATGTGTCTTCTTAATCTAATCTGTTCACATACTCAAAGTCTAACTGTGACTTAGCAACCCCAGCCTATATCCCTGTTCAAGCACGCCGTAGCTTTGCTCATACCTCTACAACCGCCATGTCACCTCAGCCGCAGCCAACAACAGCTCAAGCACCACGCAAACGAGTAGAATGGCCAGCACCCCTTCGATTATACGTGCAACGAAGCTTCGCGCCTGAGAACCAAATTCCTGGAGTCATCCGGCAGGAGATGGAGGTGAAACTGAAAACCGTCATCACCGAGGCGGCAGAGAAGAATCAGCTAGAGAAGATCAACTGGGATGCATTGCCCCTACCGCAAGTCATGATTCAAAACGAGCGCAACCAGATCCTGACCAACCCCGATGTCTCAGGTTGGAGTGCTTCTCTTGTAACTGCTGCTCAGAAACCGGACACCGTGACCGAGGACGCATCTAGGAAAAGAAAATCGGCTGAGTACCAGTACGGGGACAAAGACAGCTGTCCACCATGGAGGCAGACTAACAACCACCATGCATTTGGAGATCGAACTACTTATTCCTCAGCAGACAAGCGCCAGCGTGTTGATCAGAAGAACCCAAGTAAGTCAAAAGCTAATTTGGAAATGCGGAGGAAGCGTTTCGAAGAACTACGGGCCAGATATGGCTCTTCACCATCCTCATCCCGTGGGGAATCACCAGCGCCTACTGCCAATCAGGGCCCTGTTGTCGGACGGTGCCAGGAGCTAGAGAAGAACTACTTCCGATTGACTTCAGCGCCAAATCCAGACACCGTTCGTCCGCTACATGTTTTGTACAAGACCCTGGATCTTTTGAAAAAGAAATGGAAGAAGGATAACAACTATGGATATATCTGCGATCAGTTCAAGTCTCTACGACAAGATCTGACTGTCCAGCACATCAGAAACGAGTTCACTGTCAGTGTCTATGAGATTCATGCCCGCATTGCGCTCGAGAAGGGAGATCTTGGTGAGTATAATCAATGTCAGACACAGCTGCGAGCGTTATATGCCCAAAATCTCGGTGGACATCCTACAGAATTTAAGGCGTATCGTATTCTTTATTTCATCCACACTCGCAATTGGACGGCCATGAACGATGCGTTGGCCGATCTAACAGCAGCAGACAAGCGTGATCCTGCTGTTAAGCATGCCTTGGATGTTCGCTCAGCCCTTGCCCTTGGAAACTACCATCGATTCTTCCAGCTCTACCTCGACACCCCGAATATGGGAGCTTATCTGATGGACATGTTTGTGGATCGCGAGCGACTTTCCGCACTTGCGGCCATCTGTAAAGCGTAAGTGCCTTTCTCGCGTTGTGTGCATTTCTTTGCGGGCTGACTTGATGATGACAGTTACAAACCCGACGTAAAGATTCGTTTTATCACTGAGGAACTTGGCTTTGAGTCCGATGAACAGAGTGCACACTTTATTCTGGACCACGCCTCTGAGGATTTACTCCAAGAGAAAGATGGATCCGTGAGGCTGCTCACGAGCGGCAAGGCTGCGCAACTCTTCGAGGCGGCCAAGTCTGAAGCCCACAGAGTCGTTGATATAAAAGGACAGATTTGATACCGAGTCTTTCGTTACTGCAGCCAGCGTCCAAACCCCACTGCTTACCGGCATATATGAGTTTCCCCATCTCTCAGTGCTCTCAATACCCTTGCACCTTGATTCCGTCTCTTTTTCATTCCCCTTTCTTTTTTCGTTGAACGGCATAGGCAGTCAACTGGCATCAGTGCCTCCAGTGGTTCCCGTCACGTCCGCTTCGGCCTTCTCTATGCTCCTCGGCCCTTGACGGCGTCTTGCATATATCTTTGATGGCTTTTGAGATCACCTCACCTGACCCTGGAAGCACGGTAGCGATATTTTCTCTGGAGTTTTGGCGTTGTCATGGATGGGTTGTGGAAGTGGGTTAGCATTTGATTCTTTAGTACTCGTAATCTAGTGGTACATAGCAATATCAAAAGTACTTTCAATACCAGTGGTCGCTATCTTTGGCAATCGTTATACAAGACATTGGCCAGTTTTCGATTGAGAGCAGTCTTCAGATCCAGTATGATGAAATCAATAGGCACAAGAAGCCACCTCCAGATAAGCCACTCGTTGAGAAGGAGAGCCTCACTGCCTGGATTACACCGCTATGATTTAAATGCTCCGACTCTGCAGGTCGACGGACTGCTTGACGCAGTCAACGGCGGTGTCAGAACAATTGCTCTGCACTGTAGCCCCGATTGGCTGAAATGCTATTCCAATATGCAAGGGCACCTGCATCGAGATGCAGCAGCTGTCTCATCGCCCCCTGTCCGATTTAGAATTCCGATCCTCGATCTACAGGAGTTTCAAAGTCTGGTAGCACGGTGAGCTAGGATTGTGGCCGATTTCGGAGGAACTTGACCACCGCACAGGGTTGTCCGAACTTGAAGCTGTAACTACAGCAGGGTATAATGACCGATCCTACGGATCATTGACAGTCACTGTATGAATCACGATCCGAGGGTCGAAGATATGCTAGTTGATTGCCCATATTATTCTTGAGGAATTGAGGATTCTTGCACCAGTTCCTTATTATAGCCCGAAATCCTGGGATTAAGCGGAGAAGGTCGAGAAATTGGAGTCTGGGATAGGCATGCTGGACCATGGGACTGCTTCACCTGGTGGAGGAGTCGGGGTTGTGCTGGTATCTGTTATCGGGAAGATGTTGCAGCCCGTTTTGGGTACCTTGCTGGTATACCTTAGTCCTGGCTTGCTAGGAACGGGCTTTCAGTACTCAGTCTTGAACTGTCGATGATATCAGGATGTTCTGGAGTACTCAATGGCTCATGGATCTAGAAGTTGAGATAGGAAAATCGATCATACCTTATTTATTGCCTTGACATTTGACAGTAGTGACTTGGCCAATCAGCTTGAAGCACAGACGCGGTTGGCCGTGCTTCATGATTCTTCGCCAATAACAGCGCCTCCACGACTACCCAGAACGAAGACTCGGATTGGTGGCGACCGAAACCCCATGTGGCCGCCATCCCACACTGGGACGGGTGGAATACGTACGTTCAACAAGTCTTGGCTGAATCTGTTCCGTCATCCCATGATTGGGCGAATGATGCTCAAGTCCTCGAAAGAGAGGAGATTAGCAGCTAATTAGCACATTTGGTGGGTTCTGGCAGGTTCTCTAACTTCTCTCTCTCGTAAGTCATAAATCATAATGCTGCCCGATAGTCGCAGGGATTGTGTGCATTAACCACTCGTTTGGCCTTAGGCACTTGGGCTGGATTGGAACCGGGGACCACCTTCCGACGCACTGGATTTGGTACTGTGGGCTGTGAACGTGCCTTGGTGCCTTACCAGATTAGTTGCTGTAAGGTACAGTACCCAGATAGAATGGTCCACTTGTTGGGTATGAGCCATGGTCGAGGCATTTCCAGAATAACTGGAGAATGTGGATGATTATGGTATTCATGGTTACCTTACACTCTACAAAGTACTTGAATAACGATCTTGAAATGCCGTCCTGAATATTAGCTTTTTTGGCTTTGGCTTAAATATGAGAAGAAAGAAAGCCACTTCTAAAAAGTGGACTGTACCATCATCATCCCCACATAGGATGATAGGCACGGCAGGTACGGAGTACCCATTATCACTACCTACTGTACAGCTTTCAACTGCACAGCTCTCATGCAGTATCACATCTTCCTTAGTAACTGATTTAATCATTGTCAGATTGTTGACGATATTCCCCTGCTGTAACTATAATCATCGCTAACGATATATCTATGGGTTATCTCTAACATTCCACCCTTTTGTAGCTGAATTCTGAGAAGCGGTTGGTGGAATCCCGCCACCTTTGCATCATAGCTCTGGATAAGAATAAAGGTACTTCTTGGAACCTTGTCCAGGCTTGGAACCTCGAAATGTTGAGAATTTTAGGAGGCGAGAACAACTTCGCTGTCGTCTTTATATGCAGTATCCAGTATCTACAAAGGTATACTATACTCAGCAGCGGTAGATCACAGGCGCCTACACAAGGAAGGAAGTACTTTAAGGCTTCCACTTCAGCTGGTGTAAAAAAAATTACTCTTAGGTGTTTCCGTGACTGTCTATCGTTATTAGACGTTCGCATAGCCTGCTTTTCTCCTTCTGCGTCTCTCAGCTGATTGATCAATAAAACCATCGTCAACCAGCCTGCAGTGGTATTCTGAAAACCGACAGGGTTCCCAGCCAGCCCAAGCCAGATTTCTTTCTATTTTCCCTTTCAGGGGGGCGAGAAGGGAAATCCCAGCACCACCACCAAAGCGGGCCACTTTCTTTCGCAATCCAGAACCAGAACAACCAAACCCTCACGTATCCACGGTAGTAATCGAGCACGAGGGTAAAGTGAAGAGAGAGAAAGCACAAGAGATCCATTACTCAATAAGGCCACACCACTACTACTACCTATTACTATTACTATTACTACTGCTACGGCTAGACTACCTACTCTCCACACTCTCTCTTACTGGCATTATCATTATTATTTGAACCATTCATTATCTACCATTTCTTTGACTACGACGTGCTTTCTCTCCTTCTTATTCCACACAAACACGCACACAGACAAGAGACATCGACTTTTGGTCTCTCACACTCATTTTCTCTTTGTATGAACCCAAGAATCTGATTACTTGGTTGTCCTTTTGTTACACTCTTTTTCTCTTTGACTTTTGGGTCGTTATATTGCTTCTTTCTGCCTTGCCTCTCGAACCCACCTCTCGCTCTTTCGCAATCCCCTTGACTCTCCCAGCCTACACGGCTGTCGTTGATCCAACCTCCCGGACCGAGTACAGTGCTACTTTCAGTACGATTCCACTAGTTCGTTCGTCTTGAAGGGAAAGAATGAAGGTATGCTTTGATTCTAAACTGTTTGATACTACCTAGTGAACTCTGCGCGTCCCCTTCGTTTCAAGCAGCCGGCTTGCCCCCTCTTCCACCATAATAATCCATACCCCGCCTCTCGTTTATCTCGATTATTATGGTCGCTTGTGGTCTCTTTTCTTCCGACTCCGATTTTAGTGTTTATTTCCTTATTCCTGTCCTCGGAATATCATCGTCATTATTTCTCTTTTTTAAGACTTGAATGTTTATTTCACCCTCCCCTCCTTTATTGTTATGGCAAAATAATAACATACTGTTCAAAATATACAGGCCATCAGGCGATCTCTCAAAGGGGAAAAAGACCCCAAACCTCACCACCACCATCTTTCAATCACTCCCAAGTCAGCCATTGCGATTCTGCCCCCCAAGAAGGTAAGCCTTTATCCTAACCCCCCGAAACCAAAATGAACCGCTACGGCCCCCTTTCCCTCTAACATTTCATTTGCCTTTGAATGGATCGCATTTGAAAAGAGTATATCTAGACCCATGACTTTCCCTCCCTCTCACCTCCCCTCCCCCTTTCAAATTACCCCCCCTCATTCCAGTCGCATTGTCGATTCTTGGAAGTTGGTATTGACCGCGCGTCCCTTTTTCACGTCTAGGTGATCAAAGCTCTCTACGACTACCAACCAGAACCCGGGAACACGCAAGAATTAGCGTTCAGCAAGGGCGACTTCTTCCACGTTATCAGCAGGGAGGACGATTTGGACTGGTACGAAGCGTGCAATCCCCTCATCCCTAGTGCCAGGGGGTTGGTGCCGGTCTCCTTTTTTGAGGTCATTGGCAAGAACGAAAGAGATAGTGGCGGGTCGATCGATCTTCATAAGAAGAAAGAGTCGCACGACTCGGGTTTCTCAGATCGTGGTGCCGCTCTGTTTCCTTCCCCAGACCATACTCCCACGCAACTTCACCACCCCCCCACGGCTCTCAGGATGTCGACGTTAGGAAAGGCCTCGAGCGCCATGGTCTATGGTATCGTCCAGTATGACTTCCAAGCAGAGCGACCGGATGAACTCGATGCGAAAGCAGGCGAAGCGATCATTGTCATCGCCCAATCCAACCCAGAATGGTTTGTCGCAAAGCCCATCGGTCGTCTAGGTGGTCCCGGTTTGATCCCCGTCTCGTTCATCGAACTCCGGGACATGCAGACCGGTCAAGCCGTAACCGATCCCTTGGAGGCAGTCAAGCGCGCCGGTGTACCAAGGGTTGAAGAATGGAAGAAGATGACGGCAGAATACAAAAATAGCAGCATCACCCTCGGCAAGATCGACTCTGCCGCATCAACAATGCAGTCCGTGACCTCTGGAGTGGAGAAGATGGCCATGGGTCGCAACAGCGCTGGCCACACAAGCCAAAATGGAAATGCCTACGTAAGTCTCCCTTCTTGCTGTCTTCCTTTGGCGATGCGCATGCTCATGCTGTTTTCTTGTACAGGGCTTTCATAATCGGAATGCGAGCAAAGCGTCCCTACCTCAACACCTGTCGCAGCCGCCGATGCAGAATCACCATCAGCCTCTGGTCGCCCCAATAGCCGCATCCATTCCCCGGTACTGCTTTGATAACGACAAGTATTGGTATATTATTGAGGCCAAGATGGAGGACGGCCGCTGCTGGGAGTTGTCCCGTTATTATCACGACTTCTATGATTTCCAGATCGCGCTTCTGACCCAATTCGAGGAGGAGGCCGGAAATCGAGGCAAGCCGCGCACCTTGCCATTCATGCCCGGGCCCGTGACGCATGTCACCGATGCGATCTCCAACGGCCGTCGCCAGAATCTGGACGAATACATAAAGAAGCTCCTGGCCATGCCTTCCCATATCTCCCGTTGCCAGCTGGTTCGTCAGCTATTCGCACCTCGCCCAGGTGACTTTGAAATTGACCCGAGCGCGTTTGGAGAAGATGCTCGGTACTCCGGTGGCTCGCACCATTCCTCCACGCAGGAGGCATCGCGCAGCGCGTCCCGCCAGTCATCTCAGGCTCAAATGAGCTCGCACCCCGACCGAACTTCGCACCAGCGCAGTCAGCCCTCCGTCTCGCATCCGGCCGACAGACCGGCGCCGATGAACCGGCAGGCCAGCTCTCTCACTCAAGTGTCGACAACCTCAAGCGGGGGCGCCATGAAAGTTAAGGTTTTCTTCCAGGACGACTTGATTGCCATTCGCGTTCCTAGCGACATCAGTTTCCAGCAGCTCCGGGAGAAGCTATTAGATCGTCTCAAGGTCAATGAGGAAATTGTGGTGCAATATAAGGACGAACCCTCCGGCACGTACATGGACCTGAACAACGACAGTGACCTTGACACCGCCATCCAACGGAATTCCAAGCTCACTCTACACGTCGGGCTTGCCTAAAAAAGCCCTCACCTCCTCATATTTTCTTCTTGAAAGCATGCATAGAATCATGATTTTCCCGATGCAAGTTTGCGATAGATCGTTGTTCCTCGTATCTGTCTTTGTCTCACTCTACCCGGCCACAATTTTGATCGACTGGTGGAGACGGTGTATGGTGTTCTGGTCTTGTCATTTTGTTCATGTTCATTTTGGGGAAAAAACAGCCTTTTGAGCGCTTTCTGATTGTTTGATGTGGTTGAAAAATGGCAGAATGAAATGTCCGACATGTTTGATGTTTATGCCGTTATGTACTTTTTCTTGTTTGATATATCCTTTCCTCTGTTTTTCGCATTGGATTCTGTCCAGTGGGCACATGACTTGTGTGATGTTTCCATACCCTCTTGACGCTTTGTCCATCACATGTACATATGTTCTTTGCATATATACACCTCTATGTAGGTTTCTCTACCTGCATGCAGTCGTATAGTCCTGATATGTCATTCCTTCAGCATTATCCTATAGCATAACATAGCACAACATTCATACTCCGTGCTCCTACCTGATAGAAAGAAATTCCGCCTCAATTGCCGGGTTCCGAGTCACATGATTTTGGCCGTCGGAAATCCCGCGGTTCTTTTTCGCCTCAGGCCAACGCAGTGCTAATGGAACTTGATTGCCTCCTGACAATTGAACACACGCGTACCTGGCGCACATGCTCTCATTCTCTTCGTCCTCTTAGTCTTCTGAGAATTTGGAAATTACCCTAGCAAGGAACTGATGCCTTTCTACCAAAGGTATAAGGCGTACTCGCTTTGTTGACACCGACAACTGCTTTCCTTTTCCCCGCTTGTCCGCCGCACTTGACCCATTATTTGTCGATTCTTCGGCCATAGAAGTATACCCGATCGGAAGAATCTAAGCCCATCGACCACATATTTTTACACGAAGCGTTTTACGATCCTTTCCGCTCAGCATCCCTTACATCGACTCATCAGGAACAAATGAGTCGGCCATCTGCGAAACTCTGCGCCGAGTCCCTTCCCTCAGCGCTGAGGGGCCGGGCCCCAGCGTTCACGGCGAGGAGGTCCGGCCGTGGACGGGTACCGATCGAGAAGTGTAGGAGGAGTGTACATAGCAGCAATGGCGCGGCACGTCGTCAGGCGGCGGAGGCGCAGGGTGTGTGGTTGAATGCCAGGAACGCGCAGCCGAGTCCCGGAGCGTATATGCGGCGCTTTGCTACGGCGGCTGTGACTCAGCCTCAGGCTGAGAGTATTGCGGGAGTGACGGAGGATGCGAGGGCTGGGGTGTCTGGTGGGCCAATGCAGGAGTATGAGGCGCGGGTGCAGCAGGGGCGGTTGCGGGATGATCCGCATCAGAGGGGTGGGTGTTTTCTGTACCTGTTGTTTCGGGAGAAACGATGAGCTGACACAGTTAAGAGATTGTCCAAGAGCTGCAGGACCTGCACGAGGTGTTGAAGGGTTATACCCCCCCGGCCGTTGTGCACCCGAGCGTTGAGTCGCTGGATCCGAAACCGCAGTCGTCGTTCTTCGGCTCGCTGTTTGGGCGCAAGAGCGCGAAGACGGAGTTGAAGATCCCTGAGAATCTCCCCAAGGGATTGTATATGTATGGCGATGTGGGGTGCGGGAAGACGATGCTCATGGATCTGTTTTACGAGACCCTGCCGGCCAACATCAAGTCCAAGTCGCGCATCCATTTCCATAACTTCATGCAGGATGTACATAAGCGCATGCACGTGGTGAAGATGCAATACGGTAACGACTTTGACGCTCTGCCTTTGGTGGCGGCGGATATCGCGGAGTTGTCCAGTGTGTTGTGCTTCGATGAGTTTCAGTGTACGGACGTTGCTGATGCGATGATTTTGCGGAGGTATGTGCCTGGGGCATTGTGAGGCAAGGGCTCAGCTGACACTTTTTTAGACTCCTTGAATCTCTCATGTCGCAAGGTGTCGTGCTCGTGACAACCTCGAACCGTCATCCCGATGATCTGTACAAGAACGGTATCCAGCGAGAATCCTTCATTCCGTGCATCAATCTCCTCAAGACTGCGTTGACCGTGATCAACCTGAACTCGCCGACCGATTACCGCAAAATCCCTCGCCCACCAGCAGCCGTGTACCATCACCCGCTCGGTCCTGAAGCTGATCGCCACGCGCAGAAGTGGTACGAATTCCTGGGCGATCCCAATGATCCTCCTCACCCCGAGACGCAAGAGGTCTGGGGCCGTAAGATCGAGGTTCCGTCGGCCAGTGGAAAGGCGGCACGATTCACTTTCCAGCAGCTCATCGGAAGCGCCACGGGAGCGGCGGACTACTTGGAGCTGGTGCGGAACTACGAGGCTTTCATCGTGACGGACGTTCCGGGGATGACATTGCATCAACGCGATCTGGCTCGTCGATTCATCACTTTCATTGACGCCGTCTACGAGAGCAGGGTGAGTAGCTCCATCGGTTTGTTTTTTCGCCCAAGTCAGCCGACGGCTAATAATCTCTCTCGACAGGCCAAATTAGTCCTCACCACAGCCGTCCCACTCACCAACCTCTTCATGTCCGAGCAAGAAGTCAAAACCTCCCTAGAAGAAAACGGCGACCACTCCGATCTCTCAGACGCCATGCGCATGATGATGGACGATCTGGGATTGTCAGTGCAAGCCCTCAAATCGACCTCCATCTTCAGCGGTGACGAGGAACGATTCGCGTTTGCGCGTGCCCTTTCCCGGTTATCCGAGATGGGCAGTAAGGAGTGGGTTGAGCGTGGCTTGGGAGTAGGGAAGACCGTCCAGGAGGGGAAGAGCGAGCACGATGCGTGGATGAAGGCAAGGAGCCGCTGGAGCGAGGACAACATGTAGATCCAGTTCATCCTAGACTTGTGGCTTTCTTCTAGACCTTTTTGCATGCGTTTTGCGGCATGATGAGCCTGTTTGATGGAATGATGGTGCAGTGTATATCCCATTCGATACATATAGAACATACCCATACATATATCATCAGTCTTCCACCACTGCAGTATACACACGTCTAACACCTAACCCTCATCTAATCAACCCCAGTGATTGTATAATCTAGTCTACCCCACGAATACGATAAGTGCAAAGCCATACTGATACCTCTCTACAATCAGAGATAAGCCATCACGATAAGCCATGACGTCATCCGATTCTTCGATACACCACCGGGTGCATTACTTCTCATCTACCTCCAGAGTACAAAATACTCATAAGGTACCCCAGATACTCGGTATCCCAATGCTGCTTCATGATTAGAAATACCCAGATTCCAGACCGCAGCCTATGGCCTCTCGCTGACGTGACATTCGCCGAATCGCGCAGCGGACATAAGCAGGTTTTTCAGCGATCGGGGTTCGCGGAGCCGGCGATCACCATTCACCAGGCATGGAAACCTGGATTACACGGCTGTCTCCACTGGAAGTTGCTTTGGGAGTGGTTGCTGGGTACGTGGAGTCCAAGGTAAGGTAGGAAGTGGAAGTAGATGGACGATGTCATCGCGCGGGGATTGCATCATATCTGGGAGTTTGGGCATTGAAGGCCTGCACTTCGATGGTTAGTTCAAAAATTTTATATATAGGATTGGGAAGATGGCAGGCTTAGCTCTAGTATTGTGAAATACGAATTTACCGAAGACTCTGTGAATCATAATGTCTACGAATCAAACGAGTAAGACTGCTGATCTCCAGCGCGATACTATCGAGCTGGACGATAAACAGCACATGACAACCGATTATGGAATTAAGATATCTGACCCGGATCACTGGCTGCGTGTCGTCGATGAGAAGCATAATGGCCCTTCGCTCCTCGAGGATCAAATCGCCAGAGAGAAGGTACTTGCGCCTCCTCGTAGAAGGTAACTCTTGTGCGCGGAGTAAATGCTAATGCGATATAGATTATGCGATTCGACCATGAGCGAATCCCCGAGCGAGTCGTCCATGCGCGCGGCGTCGGTGCCTTCGGCACGTTCAGACTTCACAAGAGCATCAGCCACTTGACCACCGCTGGTGTCTTGACTGATACCTCTCGAGAGACACCCTTGTTCCTGCGCTTCTCCACGGTGCAGGGCAGCAAGGGAAGCGCGGATACTGTGCGAGACGTGCGTGGGTTTGCGGTCAAGATGTATACATCCGAGGGTAACTGGGATATTGTGGGAAACAACATTCCCGTCTTCTTCATCCAGGATGCGATCAAGTTCCCGGATGTGATCCATGCCGTCAAGCCGGAGCCTCATAACGAGATCCCCCAGGGACAGAGTGCGCATAACAACTTTTGGGACTTTATGTACATGCACTCTGAGACAACTCATATGCAGCAATGGGTAGGTCTTCTCTTTTCTTAATCAGCGCAACATGCTAATCCTGCAGGTCATGTCGGACCGCGCGATCCCTAGGTCCCTTCGCATGATGCAAGGTTTCGGTGTTAACACCTACTCCTTGATCAATGCTGAGGGCAAGCGGCACTTTGTAAAGTTCCATTTCCTTCCCGAACTTGGTGTGCACTCTCTTGTGTGGGATGAAGCCCTCAAGATCTGCGGACAAGATCCCGACTTCCACCGCAAGGATCTGATGGACGCGATTGATGCCGGCCACTTCCCCAAGTGGAAGTTTGGTATCCAGGTGATTCCTGAAGGGAAGCAGGATGATTTCGAGTTTGATATTCTCGACGCCACCAAGATCTGGCCCGAGGAGCTGGTCCCGATAGAATATATCGGTGAAATGGAACTCAACCGCAACATCGACGAGTTCTTCACTCAGACAGAGCAGGTCGCCTTCTGCACCAGTCACATCGTGCCTGGTATTGACTTTTCAGACGACCCTCTCCTTCAGGGCCGAAACTTTTCCTACTTTGATACACAGATTTCCCGTTTGGGACCCAACTGGCAGGAGCTTCCCATCAACCGTCCTGTATGCCCCTACGCAAGCCTAGTCAACCGCGATGGTGCTATGAAACACCGCATTACCAAGGGCAAGGTCAACTATTGGCCCAACCGATACGGAACCAACCCCCCTGCCTCTCCCGCCCAGGGCGGCTTCACCAGCTACCCCGAGAAGCAGCAGGGTTCAAAGGGTCGCCATTTCTCGGACAAGTTCAAGGAGCACTTCAACCAAGCGCAGCTCTTCTACAACTCCCTCTCCCCCATTGAGAAGATGCACGTCGCCAAGGCGTTCTCGTTCGAGCTTGATCACTGCGACGAGGAAATTGTATACAAGCGTCTGTCGGAACGTCTTGCCGTCGTCGACCTCGAGCTGGCTCAAAAAGTAGCCAAGAACGTTGGTGGTGACTCTCCTGAAAAGGCGCCCAAGGAGAATAAGGGTCAGAAGTCCAAGGGTCTCAGTCAGCTCGAGTTCATGCCCGAGAGCGCCGTCATCACCACCCGGCGTATCGCTATTCTCATCGCTGATGGCTTCGACTATGCCTCGTACAAGTCAATGAAGGATGCCCTCCAGAAGCAAAACGCCTTCATCTTTACCATTGGCCCTCAGCGACAAGGTGTTACCGCCGAGACGGGCGAAAAGGTCATCCCCGAGCACCACTTCTCTGGTATGCGTTCGACGCTCTTCGATGCGACATACATCCCTGGTGGAAAGAAGCACATCGCTGCCTTGAGCAAGAACGGTGTAGCCAAGTACTGGATCACTGAGTCATTTGCGCATCTCAAAGCCATCGCTGGTCTCAATGAGGCTGTCGACTTTATCCAGAAACAAATTGGTCTGGAGAGCGTCAAGTACGCCGCCGGGTCTGGAGAAGTCATGCAGAGTTATGGTGTTGTCACAGCTCATGGTTCTTCGGATGAGCACTTGAAGATCTCCGCCGAAATCAGCAAGGACAGCAAGGGATTCGCTGAACAATTCATCTGGCAGGTTTCGAGACACAGGAACTGGCAGAGAGAGTTGGACGGTTTGGTGGATGAAGTGGCTGCTTAAGTGCTTTTGTACAATATAACATGACCGTGATTATGCTCGTTGCAATTGATTTGTTCTTGAATAGTGAGCAATGCCAATACCTTGTCATTGACTGGACGATACTCGAGTAGTGACAAGTAAAGGAAAACAAGCAGACCCCCTGCTTTGGGGGAGTAGTTTGGCGGGTACTAGTCCTGCGTTGAATTCAGGCCAGATAAACGTCGCACACTATCACGAGCCACAAATGCCATGAATGACTAGAGTCCATGGGTAATGTCTCAAGTTGGGGACACGACTCTGCAGATATCCGAGGCGTCACACAAAGCGCAGGCAAAGAAGGAAAGGGGAAGATTTCGCCATCTCTCCTGGCCTTTTCCTTACTAGTATACGACTCCTTTCTTCCATTGCTTCGATCCGAGCAGCGTTGGAGTAATACTTCCCGAGATGGCCCTGAGCATATCGCGCTCACAGCGCTTGATCATCGTGATCGGGATATCATCATGTTTCTTCTTGACTGAAATCTCAAGTATTTGTCCTCTGCACAGATAAACGGATCCCAGAATTCAAAGCTGATATCAGAAGTTGGCTTGTACACTCATTCGCTAGCTCTGGTGGCAGATGCCTTTCACTATGTACGCTTTGCTTTGTCTCCCAGGTGATATCTGCTGAAAGGTCCAGTTGACTGACCTGATTGGGTTCGTTGTCGCCTTATCGGCCTTGAAGGTGGGATAATGGTCTTGAGGAACAAGAGAGCATAGAAGGTACTGACACAGAAAACAAAAGCTTTCTGAGATCAATGATCCACCGAAGATTCTGGCCTTCGGGTGGCAGCGAGCACCACTATTGGGAGCTTTCTTTAACGGAGCACTTCTCTTTGCGCTGGGAGTAAGCATTCTATTGCAGTCTGTGGAGCGATTTATTTCATTGCATAGTTTGTGCCCTCCTTCGATGCGCAGGCGATTTTTACTGATATTTCACAGAAGTCGAGAACCCCAGACTCATGTTCATTGTTGGATGCGTTGGGTTGAGTCTCAATATCATCAGTGCTATTGTTCTGCACGGCAGGCCTACCTTCTTGGATGTACGGTCTCGTGACTAATGTCAATATATTAGAGGACGGTACCCATGCCCATCAACACGCGTTGGAGGCTTCGACAGACCCATCCATAAGAACCGAGGACGAGGCAGGGATGCCCAAGGTGTGCCCTCATTGCCACACTTTTGGGTTTTGTATGAGCTCAGCTAAATCCTCGTGCAGCGCAATATAAGGCTTTCGCCGAAGAGGACAGCATCCAGTTGCCATGATCTCGGAATGCTAGGAGTTCTGCTCCATGTTATCGGAGATGCAGTCAACAATCTCGGCGTTATGATCGCTGCATTGGTGATCTGGTTCACAAAATCTGAAGGACGATATTATGCCGATCCGGGAGCAAGTTTATGGATCGCTTTCATAATCATACTATCCTCTCTCCCGCTCCGTGTGTTGTTCTCCATCTGTGGAGTTGTTAGGTGACGCTGACGCTTTTCAGTGCGGAATTCCGGATCCATCCTCTTGGGGAGTACACCCTCTGGTGTTGATCTCAATGACTTAAGATGTGATCTGGAAAAGGTAAGCGATGTTGTATTATTCTGATGTCATCTCAGCTCTGACTGTGACGGGCATAGATCCAGGGAGTGTTATCAATTCATGAAATCAAGGTGTGGCATATCAGCCAGCACAAGTCCTTGGCTATCATTAGTGTGCTTGTCACCGACCAACATGTCCCAGGATTTATCAAGCTGGCCAGCATGGTCGACGAGTGTTGTCAGAAATATGGCATCCAATCAGTTGCTCTTCGGCCAGATTTTGCGTTCGCAGGAATTGTCACTGTCAATGGTAAACCGGATTTGGAGAGCGATGTGGGCAATAGGATGTAGGAGGATGGATCTTCTGGGGTTCAGCAATTGTCCGAGTGTCATGTTGGGCATAGAATGGATAGGTTCAGACGATGTTGTTGAGACTAAAATCATGTCAGGAATGAGATGAATGTGGGATGGTTCTCTGTCACCTGACAAGTCCATGTCGCTTTTGCAACAACCAAACTGCTACTCTCCTCACTACCCTATCTCATCTGATCCCGTTCATATCATCGTCGTTTGTTCCAATAAATTGATCAAAGCATTGATCCGAGCTTGGGTCTTCATTTCTCCACCTTCTCCGCATCTCTGGCGGAATCATTCCGCCATGATGAAGGGAGCCAAAATGCTCTTCTCTGGCCTGGTAGATATACCAACCTACACGATCCTCAGGAAGATTGTGAGCAGCTCTGAACGAGGACAGGGTTGTCTGTCCTGCTTTGATTGATTCTTCGTTTGGACCGAGAGAATAGACGACTCTGAACTTATAACCATATCCGTACTGGACGAAAAGGGCAACTGATACGCCCTGAGTGGCTGAAGGCCCCACGACCACACCTTGAAAGAAAGAACCAATGGTACAAATTTCATGAGGAGAAGGCTTGATGGTTCACTCGAATCAACAACCGATCGGCAGATAAGAGCTTCTCCAATCTCCACCGTGGCCTATCTCCAATGTCTATTGTTATCTCCCGCACGTCTCCTGATTGGAACTTGTCACCGTATTCCGATTCCGAGACGCAAGGAGCTACAGCCTGAACGATTCTATGGGTCTGCTTGTGACGGGAACAAGGGGATTGACACTTCGTGGCGTCTTGGAAGAGGGGTATAACATATAGTCCTCCCGCCTCCTCCATGATCTAAGTTTAAGTTCTTACTTGATCGTCTATAAGGGGTACGTTGTTGTTGCCATATCAATCGGCGAAATACAATATGTCTGTACAGAATTGGGAAATTCGAGCGCGCCGAGCTAAAGACGTCCTTCTAAACTCTGTTCCAAAGCAATGGATCCTTCCCGCAGACAGACTGCCTCCGGCGGACCAGAAAAATGTCGAGGACTTCCCACGAAAGAGCGGTGTTCTCAGCGATAGAGAGGTCTCTATCACCGAGATGTCTGCTACCGCGCTTGTAGCAGGTATGGGAGCCGGCCTACTGAGTGCCGAGGAAGTGGTCATTGCGTTTCTCAAACGAGCTGTCTTGGGTTACCAGTTGGTATGCTACGCAACCAGAAGCTACATCTCAATTTGGCAATTTGGATCCGCTAACAGTGATAGCTGAACTTTGCTACAGAGTTCATGGCAGAGAGAGCCATTGCTAGGGCTAAAGAGCTTGACGAACACTATAAACGGACCGGAAAGCTTGTTGGGCCCTTGGTAGGTTGGCCTATCATGCCAAAAATGAAAAAGCCCTAACGGCGAGTCAACTGTAGCATGGCGTCCCCATCAGCGTCAAAGAGCACTTTGAAATTAAAGGTCGAACCTGCAATGCGGGCTTTGTGGCATGGTATGATTCCAGCTTGCAACAACCCAGGCCGCCAGCTGACAGCGCCCAGGGTCGACGACATTGCAAACGAAGACGCATTGCTTGTCCAATATCTTGAGAAAGCAGGCGCAGTTTTCCATGTGCGAACGAACCAGCCACAGTCATTGATGGTAAGCAACCTCCGTCTACTTGCAAAGACCACATACTAAATCTATCTTAGCATCTCTGCTGCAACAACAATCTCACCGGTCCCACAAGAAACCCCTACAACCGCACCCTCACACCTGGCGGCTCCTCAGGCGGCGAGGGCGCCTCAATGGGATTCAAGTGTGCTGCTCTCGGCGTCGGCACAGACATTGGCGGGTCCATCCGAGGCCCTGCCGGCTTCTGCGGTGCATATGGGTTCCGTCCCACGACTCTCCGAATGCCTGGGACAGGAATCAAAGTCCCCGGCGCAGGACAGGAGTCCATCCGCGGCACCGCCGGACCTCTGGCAAGCCAGAGTGTCGAGGATCTAGATCTATTCCAACGAGCCGTCATCGACCAGGAGCCATGGGAGACGGAAACATCCCTAACCCCATTACCCTGGAGGCGCGTAAAAGCCACCAAAGACATGACGGTTGGCATCATGTGGGATGATGGGTATTTTCCCTAGGTCCCATCCGCTGTTCTGCGCTTAGACAATAGTACTGACCGCACAGATGCGTCCGCCCCCATCCCCCAGTCACCCGAGCCCTGCAACACGCCAAAGAAAAGCTCCTCGCAGCCGGCCTGAGAGTTGTAGACTGGGAACCCTACCGCCACGATCACGGCTGGGAGATTGTCGTGCGTCCCTCCCCCCCAATCTCCACGCATCATCCCCTTGCCTCTCCCCAACTAACAACCCAACCCCACAAAAGTCATCCCTCTACTTCCCCGACGCCGCCAACAGCCAACGCACCGTCCTCTCCCAAAGCGGCGAACCCCTCCTCCCCCTAACAGAATGGGCCTTCGCCTACAGCCGCGCGTCCCCGCTCACCGTCCCCGAGAACTGGGACCTGAACTACAAGCGTGACGCCTACCGCGACGCGTACCACGCCCTCATGAAATCCCGCGGGGTGGACTTCATCCTCTGCCCTGTGTACGTCGGCGCCGCGGCGGTAATGGGCGAGTCGCATTACTGGAATTACACCGCGATCTGGAATATCCTCGACTACCCGGGTGTTGTCTTCCCGAGCGGGCTGGTTGTTGATCCGGAGTTAGATCCGGTGGATGGTGGGTATCGCCCGCGGAGTGAGGTTGATGCGCGTGAGTGGGCGAAGTATCGTCCTGAGCGATATGAGGGGGCGCCGATTGGGTTGCAGCTGGTAGGCAAGCATTTCAAGGATGAGGAGACCCTTGCAGCGGCGGGCCTTGTTTCGGATATCGTGCAGGGGAAAGGGAAGGATACCGAAGCTAGGCTTTGAGCCTCGCGTCTAGGCAGTGCGCTTGGTGAAGAGCTCGCTACGCAAGACAGATTCAGGTGTCCACACATCCTGTCATTATATCCATTCAATCATCAGATACATACATACATGAGCATCAAGTAACGAGTCAGAAGACTTGAATCAGTCATACATATCAATCGGTATCTAGCGAAACAAACTCCAACACGAAAAGAAAAGCATAGGAACCCATAACTCGGGGAGTACTGCATCAGCTTGAAGAAACGCAGACATCAAACGGCATTACTTCCTCCAGAACATAGCCTTGCCTGCCGTCCTCTTAATGGTCCAACCAGCTTCAGTCACCTTGTCCTTGAAGCTAGTCCCACCACCATACCGCAGTGTCGAACTACTCGTCACATAACTCGAAGTAGCACTGTTGGCATTCGCAATATTGCCTGCATCGAACTTGGTCTTGCCCTCGACGATCTTCTGAACCACCAACAAGATGGCGTAAGTCGTGGACCCGACGGCACGGATCAGTGCCAACACAGCCACAGACCACAAAATGATGGCCAGATAGACGTTTGTTCCACCCGCGTCGACGCCATAGATCTCGGAGACGGCCATGGCGAGGATGACATTGGCAACCATCCAGATGGACACCATGTATGTACGCACGGCGCGGTAATAGTCTTCTTGCTGCTGGCTCTCGGATACCGGGGGTTCAGGGACTTCGAGACGGTCGCGGAGGTTGCGCAGGGCGGCGTCGTAGCCACTGTCGATGTCAAGTTGCTCTGAGGGCATCTCCACCTCGACGGTCGTTCCGTTAATGATACGTGCTGCGCCCAGATCGGTGTTGATGGTGTTGTCACCCTTGGTACCCCAAGTCACATCGTGCGTGTTACAGAATGCGTAGACCTGCAGAGTGCAAATGTAGCTTGGCAGGAGCGCAAAGTATTGCGCCGAAGACGTGAACATATGCCATGGATCCAAATAAAGGAACGAAGAGTAGAAGTAGAGGCCAACGGTCGAGAGCAGGGATACCACAATATTGACGAAGAGGGAATCACTGACACCAAGATCTTTCTTGCCCACTCCAACCTTCGACATGAGCTCTAGAACGACCAGGTAGAGAGCGCAGAATGCAGTGTAGACCATGATTATACTATAGACAATGATACCCGACAAGTAAAGCTTCTTTGCTCTTGGGGGATGTCAGTAATGTACTTTTTCGTTGCTACATAGCCAGGACACTCACCCCTGTGGTCGATTACCCATCGAAATGATGAATTGCAAGCACATGACCAGGATGCAGGCGTACCGCAGGACAATGAAGATGTATTTCCCAACGTTGTGTCCGAATGGGTCAATCTTATCGTCTGATAGAGATCCTGCAATGAAAAAGAAAGCCAGGTAGAAGTTCGCCTGCGGATCGTCAGTATCTATCCAGTAAGCAGAACTATATCACATACCAGTCCAAAGTAAGTAAAGAGCAGGTTCAAAAATTGATAGACCGCCTCGATCTGAAGAAGAATCTTCCGTGGGAGAGAGTGGTCGGTTTTCCAAAGCTGTTTACCGTTGACGAGGGAATACACGGCCGCAAAGAAAGCACCGTTCAGCCAACGTCTTCGCTGAGAAATAAACTCGGGTATAGAGTCTGATGAGGCCATGGGTTAGTTTCAGTTCGACCATACAACCCAAAGGCAACACACACCTGGAACGTCAGTTTCACCGACAGCGCTTTTGACAAATTTCAGAACCCATCTCTCTTCCCTCTTGGCTACCAATTCCCAGCAGAGGATACGATCTTCTGCCAGGTACATATTCGCCGTGAAGACATCGGCATCCTTGCCATGCAGCGTTTCACCCTTGAAATACTGATTAAGCGGCCCGTTGCCATCGGCATCGTTTTGCAGAGCAAAGAAACGATACGCACTGAGAGCACCGGGAAGCACAGTGATGTACCCAAACACCGATTCCAAGGGTTTGTCCAAAATGTTGGACATTTTATACTCAAAGTTCTGACTTGCGACAAGCGGATTCAACAAACCCATCATGTTCTTGCCCTTGCCGGCCTTGATCTCACCAGCCGCTCCGGCAACATTCGAGTCTTGGTCAAACGCCTTCCACAGATGGTATAACGCAGTGGGCTCGGGTTTAGTACCAACGTCCAGAAGGATGCAAATGTTCGGTTGCAGAGCGCGCCCAAAGGCATTGAAGAACCAACGGTGCGAGTTCAATTTCTTCTGGTTGTGTTCTTTGAGACAGAAGATCACTTGACAGGGCATGATGCTCTTCTCAGCTCCCTTGAACTTCAGATCTGAGTCCAAAGACACCTGAGTGGTGTATTCGTACACATGGGCCGTGACCTGCTTCTGGTTGACAATATTCTTGGCGATGCCTTCTTGATAGACTCCCAATGCTGCTAGTGCGTTGAGAGTCCTAGGATGCACCTTCTTGCGGCCATCTGCAATGATACAAACCACAATTTTCTTCCATCCGTCTTTACCCCATGTTCGCGATTTGGATCTTGAGCAGAAGTGGCTAATGTTTCGCATAATACCATGCATGGTACGGGTGAAGTGAATTTCATCCTCATTGTACATAGTCACACAGATGAATAATTCGGTCTCGCGCATGGTACTTCCAATCTGTTGGCGTAGTTTATAGCCCCTCTGAGTGAAGTCGTCTGGATCGCACGTAACGGCTGTATAGCGCATGTGCGTGAACTCTCGGTCGTCCCGACGAGGTAAGAAACTGTGCAAAATTGTGGGAATTTTACATTCCAAGATCAGTTCACCGTTGATCAGCTGGACTTCCTTCTTGGACATCTGGGCCTCTCGAACTCCTCGACGACTTTGCTTTTCTGGAGCCGGACCATAGTGCATGTTGGGGTCGACGTCGGTAGTATCGTCTTCATCGAGGTTGATCTTTGCCGTTTCGTCCTTTTCATCTGTGATCATGGTCGATTCGCTCATGAACGATCGAATGCTTCCACGGTGCTCATGTCGGTTGATCGTCCTTCCTCCTCCTCCAAAAGGATCATCAGGATCATTGCCATCTCCGATATCAATGCTTGTGTCTTGCCCGGTTGGTGCTCCAGGGCCAGCAAACAATGGAGCAGGTGGCAAGGGACGTCTAGGGCTCCCGCCGTATCTGGAGCTGGGTGTACCAGGCCTTGGACTACCATTTAGATCTGCGCGTTCGTACTGCGAGCCGGCGACGGACGGTGGAGCAGGCGGCCTTGTCCAGTCCGGCGCGCGCTGTGGCGACCAGGGTCTGAGGGGAGAAGCAGGACGCGATGAATACTGCGGCACATCGACCACGGAAGCGGCTGGTGGAGGGATCGTTGGCACATTTCGTAGACTCGAGGCAGGTCGCGATGGAGACTCTCCAGCATTATAGCTGTAGAATCGATCGTATCCTTCTATGGCATTTCCTCTATATGGCACATATTGTGCGTTAGCTCTTGGCCTTCTTGGTGAAGTTATTTTAGGAAGGTTTGGATCAATCATAGCGATGGCGCTCAAGTTCGAGCCGCTCGAGGTAGACTGCTTGAATCAAACATGTGCAGCGACTGAGCGTACGCGACTGCTCGAAAGTAAGGGTAGCAAATGAGAAAAAGAAGAGCAGAGACAATAGCACATGCAGTCTGTTCCTCAAAAGAGAGACGACAAGATTCCACTTCTAGTCAAACAGCGGCGCTCTGCACTCTAGTCCAAATAAGGAATACAAAGCAGGAAACAACCTGGTGACGGGCAACAGACAGATACCGGTAAGTGTCTTCGGTATGTGGGGGGGGTCATGAAACATTCCCGGGAGACAAGGTCTGGAGGAGAAGGAATTCCTGAATATTACTTACGGGCCATCATCAGAGTACTCATTTCCATACTGATGACCTGCACCACTTCCCACATCGACACTTAGATCGTCATCCAGATCGGTACTATTGGGTAGCAGGCGCATGGTGACCCCCTGATGACGGGGTGATGAGTCGTGATCTGCGAGGAAGGATGCTGTCTCTCCATAGTTGCCGTATGCCGGTGGCTCTTCCTCGTAGTTTGGCGCGGGCGGATACATTCGCGATGAGTTGGAGCTCATGGTGGATGGGATGACTGCTGGTTTAAGCCTTCATGGCACTTTGCGAGGAGACCGATACTCGTGGCTTTCTTTGCTATAGGTAAGCGAGAAAACGAGATTTGCGTGAGTAGGACTGAGACAATCTCAGCCTCGGTCAGCGGGTAACACCACTCAAGTTCGTCAATGAGATCGACACGTCGTGTTCTAGTTAAAGATGAAGAAAGCGTCAGTTTACTTGATCGATGGGATGGACGACGGAATTTATGCACTGGAATGTAACTCACTGCGAAAAGAGGTAATGAGCCGGCTATACTCCGGTATAAACAATGCGGTTCCTGTAGCTATAGAATGTAACCGAGTTGAAAAGCTCGCAGCGAGAAAAAGACCAGTGGTTTGAGTGATTGACTTGTATGTTTGCGAAACTGATAGCTTCCAATACCATAGAGAAAGGTCAATCACAGGTAAGAACAAGATATGGATTTCGAACCAGAGCACAAGTGCATTGATTCTTTTTCTTTCAGAGCTAGGCGCTAAGGATGGATCACATTGACTGCCCCAAGGAACTGTGAAAGTGTGGGAGTGCATCTCTGTTGCGTATGGGTTGTCACCAGGGCAACCAGGCGGGCTGGAGCTGACAACCGGCGGGGCGGCGCAAATCCCGTTCCTTGTGCCTTGCAGGTTCGAGACATTGATGAAGAGCGAGGGGATGATTAAAACAGTTCATTTTCTGGAGGGCATCAAGGAAAGACTGCTTGATTCTCATAGCCCATTTTCTCATGGTGATACCCTTCAGAAAGGTCGGATGTTGCACGAAGCTACGGACCTGATGTTCATCATTTGTAGCTACATGATGACGCACCCACAGCCATGATAACCCACTTTGGCGGGGCCAAGAGATCGGTCAACTCAGCATAAATTGAAGCTAGACTATGTGAACCGAAAGACCGAGAGATGGACATAAGATAAACAACTTTGAGATCCATGGACGCTTTTGTCAAAGTGCCCCACCAGTACTAACGTATGCAAACTCATAAGACAACGCAGCAGACGGATAATTAAAGCAGATGTTCAATGAGCATTAAGCAATTAGCTGGGTTCTTGTCGGACTTTTGACCAAGGGATGGTATAGACTGGAAGGTAAGGGAACAGATGGAGAGGAGAGAGGAGATGAAACACTCGTGGGATATCGCGCATATCAATAATTAGCACGTAAGGCTGACTCGACCTCCTGCGAAATGATAATCCAATTTGACAAATCATATAACTCACTATTCGACTCAATGGTGCAAATGGAGTTATGCAGAGGCTAGCAGCGAACCCCCCTCCTTTAAGGATTGGTAGCACTATTGAGCAGAGGCTCTCTCTCGCGATCAGTAGGCTCAGGCTCCGTGATTCTACGGAACAGCGAGTCGCGACCGGAGTACTTGGTGCCAGAGAGGTAAATCGACTCCACGAGGAAGACAGCAAAGATGACAAAGGCAAAGATCCATTGCAACGCAATGACCTTGATTGCCACCTGCTTGACGGCCAAAGCTGCAAGGAGTCAACTCTCTGGGTCGTACCCATACAAAGCGGGCCAGACTTACCTAGAGTCAAGAAAGTCAGACAGTAGCCCAAGAGGTCATCCTGGGTAGCCATGATGTGGGTCGAGCCGAAGGCAAAAATCAACCAGATGAAGATATTGGCGACAATCCGCGCGGGGAAACTATTGCTGTTGACTGCGACGGCTCCATTCCAGAAAAGCGCCATCAGAGTCCAGGCGTAGGGGCCTGCGATTGCCGATAGATGTACGAATGTCGGTAGGGCACGGTGGCGCCAGTAGGCAGCATGCTGGTTGATGTAGTTGGCGATCAGCATGATTTCTGAGGCCCAGAAGTGGTTGCGCGTCCACAAAAGGATCCAGGCGAGGGTAAAGATGTTGTTCAGGATGAAATGTGTTGCGACGTTGGCGGCTGCGTTGGCAATGGCGCCATCGTTTGAGAACAGATGGTAGACATAGCTGAGCTGGGTGAGAAGCAGAAGAACCCTTGACAATGAAGAGTAGTTAGTATGTAGAATACGAGAAATTCACCCACTCGAGGTAAGCATACCAGTAAACCTCAGTAATTGTGGTGTTCAAACTGAAGGGAGTGATGTGCTTGTTTCCCTGCTTGAAGATTTTATGACCATGCTTGACATCATCTGGAGAATGCAAAGTGTAGTAGACGCCAACTACGACAACAAGCAGCCACGTTAGAGGAACAAGGACGCGATACGTCGACAGCGCATAACGGCCGTGGGACTCGCGCCTGGCGAACGGATTGTCTATACCATCAGTATATGAACGAGGTGACGATGATGATGACGTCGGATATCAATGAAACTTACAAATAGCCATAGTGCCTGCTTCAGATGAGAGAGGACAGAGTATACACACACAGGTTACTCTTATTCGAAGTTGAAGTCAGAAGAGAAAATGCAAGAGGGAGAAGATGCTTATAAGTTTCAGCCTACGAGAGAGAACTGCATGGAGACAAATACCCCCGCATCATGAGGTCTCCTGACAATCTTGAGTGGCCAACGAGATGCTTCCGGGACAGCCAACAAGGTTGATCTTCCTCGCCATAAACTTTCTTGATTCTTATGACGACGAACGGATGTGCCAGAACACTTCGATTTCATTTACTGGACTTACTATGGAGACATTTTTGATTACACTGGCTTCCTTCTTCTTGAAATCTGAGTTCATTTACTGTCTATTTTATCAACAAGAGAGTATAGATGGAAAACGGGGATGAGTGACGGAAGCTGAAACTGATGACATCACCCATGCCCCATGGCGCAAACAGGCAACTTTTGTGATAATGGCGTATAGATACCCACTGCCAGGTTATTGAAGACACTGCCATGATACATTTGTTCTGTTTCAGTCTATAAATGTTCTGTGCTAGTGTGTTAGGAAAGTCATAGAGTCTTTCTAGTGATCTAATTCCTCGTAGACCATCTGTCACTTCTGTTGATCAGACCCCACATTGTCGATCAGAGCACGGGCGCAGTACGAGGCATATCATACGATGCCTATCTAGAGTGTAGGTAGAGCGTAGATGCAATTCAGTGACTCACGATGACTAGTAACCGAGTCGCTACGAAGGCCGCAACCGCCATCATTATAATTCAACATGATGCGCCGGCTAAAAACCAAGATTTCATCAAATCCTATTCCAAGGACACGCTTCAATATAATCCAGTATACCAAGAGCATCGCTGTCTTCGAGGATAGCTCCGTGTCGTCCGAAGAATGATAGTGCGTTGGCATGCCTCTTATACCTATCTGATGCAAATCTCTGGTCGCAATGTACCTCTAGAGCTGAATAATGATGATATTGATAATCGCTGTGAGCCTGCACAGCGAGAGCAGAATCCTCATCATGACGATAGCCCGAACCAAAACGTAGTCAAATATAACGCAAAACCTATTGTCCCGAATGACTCGATCAGGGAGTCTGCTCCTGCATGACCTCCTTTACAGCTTCAACGAGCCGTCCATGTATGGAAGGAGGAGCCACGATCATCCCGTAGCATCCAGCTAGGGTTCGGCCCATGCTGCAGTCGACAGGATTTCCCGCAAGGTCAGTGACCTTAACGCCGACTTCCTCGGCAATCAGCATGCCGCCTGCATGATCCCAGATCTTCGACCGATAAGATGCCTTACGGGGGATCTTGATCAGAGCGTTGCAGCCTCCCACCGCGATGGCTATGTAGCGCAGCTGTGCAGCCCAGAGATCAGTCGTATACGGCCACGGAGCACCCAGTTTCGATGCCACGCGAGCATGCAGGGGAGTGTTCGATGATGTGGCGGACCCACAGTCCACAAAATCGAGGTCCTTCGGATCTGTGATCTGTGGCCTTTGAGCGATCCTCTCAGCAGCGAGCAGAGCTCCGCGTCCCATCTTCCGTATCCAGGCACCTTGACCAGCAACTGCAAACACTTGAGACCCATAGCCATCTCGATCCACAACATCCTCTCGAAGACGGCCCGTAGAAAGATTGAGATTCGGACAACCCAGCACACCGACCTTCTGGCGTCCATTCTCCACCAATGCTAGGCACACCGCATACTGCTGGCCCTGCATGAAGGTTGCAGTGCCGTCTACAGGATCCAGAACCCAGGCACGGCTTTCCAGGCTACATTTGCCACGAGCTCCAAGATCAATCAAGTCAAGCATTTCCTCCTTAGATTTGGGAGCATAGAGCAGGGCTTCACTGTCCTTGTCATCGAGATGAGTGGTAGAGACAAGTTCCCACGTGCGCTCAAGCAGTTCTGGATCTGCACGGAGAGCCTTTGAATCCTCCTCACCCACAAATTCATCCTCGGGAAAGACTTTGTGGATAGCACCAATGATAAGTGCCTGGGCAGCGAAGTCGGCGATGGTCACAGGTGTGGAATCACTCTTGTCGAGCGATCCTTTGTCGACAGCCTCGAGCAGTCTCTTCGTCAATAGTGCAGCCCGTTGCACTGTGAGGCATGCAAGTTGTACTTCCTTGGAATAAGGATTACTGGGATCCATGATGCAAGATTCAGACAAGCCGAGCTTGTCGTTCGGTTCGAAATTCTACCTGAAGCAAATATGCAAGTCGCTGATGATGATGACAACAGGATATCAATGGAGAGAGGGGAAACGAAGATGAATATGGTGTTCTTGCACAATTGAGCTTCTGAGGCGAATCAACGGAGTTTCAAAGTGCAAGTTGTCTTTGTTTCTTCTCGTCTGATTCGACTTTGCTCTCATCAGGAAGGTGATCAACGATGAGAAGATCTAGAACGACTTGGAAGGAGCGAAGCAAGACAGTCAATTGGGGTTCCAAGAGCTTCACTTGTCTCTGGCACTCAAGGCCTGCGGCAGGACCACACTAGAAATTTCTCAAGAAGCAGCACGAGGAGCTGTAGGCAATTGCTTGGCAATTGCAATGGACGCGAGTTCGATACTAGGACGGTGCTCGATGACCTCATAAATGAAATTAATATTTATTTGATATACAAT